ACTGCTATAATGCTTCTCAGATATGCTGAGTACGAAGTTCACATACGTTCTCTACGATAGCATTTCATGCAGAACTACCGTAAATATACGGTAGCGGCCAGCCTTCTTTGTCGAAAAGGGATCTAACGTCACTGATCGGATATGCTTATTACGAAAATCAGTCTGATTTCCTCACGAGAAAGTTATTTCGCATGGTAGACGCAAAATCAAGTTCAACTTTTCTTTTTTATCAGCGATTTTAAAATGCATATACTCTAAATTTAGTATAATGCGGTACTGTGCGATATGGTTATGACTTTTGTGGTTGGCACATCAATCAATCCCTAGTAGATTTCACTTTTCCCTCCCTTCTCAGACATTGATGCTTTCGATCCCTGCAGCATTTAACTTCGAAGGGGAAGGGCAGGGAGGGGAAGGTGCGTTACTTGCGAGTTAGAAGCGAAAAACGGCAAATGTTGAAAAACGCTTACTTTTGCATTTCTTTTTCCTCTCTAACGTCCTTTTTTTCGGCCATAAAAAAGGATTCCCCTGAACTTGGTTAAGCAAATGCGCGGCAGAAAATGGCCAGGGATTAGTATTATTTATTTATTTATAAATTTTTAGACGTTACTGATGTCGTCAGTAACGGTACACATCTCTACTGTATTCCAGTAAGGTCCTGTCATATGGAATCTATATGATTTTTGTAATCAGCATGCCCGAATACCGTACTAAGTATTATTGTAGCACTTCCCTACTCCCCGCATTCCAGAAAAATTAAGCTGTTGGTTAAGTTTTTTGGGCTTTCAAAACTTTCTATTTCTTAGTTCCAACTTATGGTAAGTACTCTATAAATCTCGGCTTTATTTACTAACTGATTAGGTGTAGCCAGACGCGAGATTGTTATTAAATTTATTAGCCAACTTTTGGCAGATCGCCTTCTTTAATTTTTTTCCAATTTTCCATTCATATTATTTAAGGCAACACCAACTATAATGTCTTTTAAAAGAGAATCTTCTTTCAAATGATGCAAACTTTGCTGTCAAAACTTATTTTTAGGGGTTTTCGGTATGAAAGAAACGCTGCAAATTATTCGAAAAATTAAAGCTTCCCTCCTTCACTTGAAAAATGCACATGATTATCATCTATTTCTTAAATTTGAACTGCTAAGGTCTCCTCACCAGGAGAAATTGCACTTATGCCATCAGTGAGCTTCGGTTGCTTTATCAATAATCTAAATCACATACGTACGGGAGCCGAGCCTAACTGTCCTTTTATACAAAATTCACCCCCTAAAGGTCATTAAGATGACAAGTAGATGGTTGCTTTATAAAATTTTTATAATGATGAAATGAATAAATACCCCTAGCACGCTTAACTCTTGATAGAACGCAGTATTGCCTATTTTTAAGACTTTAATCATATCGTAGCTTTTTTGCTGCATTTACATTCTCCTTTTCACGCTTTAAACAATTCTTTCCAACCAGCCCTTAGAGCGGTTAGTTTGTTATCAACAACACAAATTCTCGATGGATTTATCGTGTAGTAAAGAATTTAGCTCAAATTAGGACCAAATCGCAGCAGTTTCTATTCGTTAATACCCTATTTCACTCTAGTTGATTTGAAAGTCTCCAACTTCATTCTTTTTTACAGTGAGCATTCCAGTCGTTTAAACGCGATTAACCAGAATAATAGTGAGTTCAGGTTGTTCAGGCACTAAGGGAAAGAAGTCCACTAAAAACTTACAAATTCT